GTAGCTATTATATTATGTGTCAGCAATTATCAAGTTATTTGTTTATATATATAGAAAATGTTAATTGTAAATACAAAATATGTTGATTGAAAGTACATAATTTGTGTATCACGTTCACAATGCAATATGATATAACAATTGCTTTTCTGTTGTTTCATAACTGGGTCATTGAGAATTTGAGAGGGTGTTTATTTTGGGCCATTGAGAGGGTGTTTATTTTGGGCCATTGAGAGGGTCTAGATATCATTTGATCTTTTAAGTCTCAATTGACAAATGTGGTAATGGGTGCCTCCATTGCAAAGTTCATATCTGGACTTCAGAGGTCTATTATTTGAGAAAAACAATCAAGAATGTTTTTATTTTTATTTTTTATTTTAAATAGCCATGGTTGTTGAGCAATCATGGATGTGTTGTTGGCGACGATGTAAACAATTGGTTATCAAAAGTTGACTATTTTATATATTTCTTTAAGTTATCTAATTTATTTACTGAATCATCATTGAAAATAAGTATACATATAAGTTAGTACCAAATCAACAGTATTATTGAATATATAAACTTGAAGCAAATTTGACATTCCTTTCTTAATAATTTTTAAAAAAAAAAAAAATATTTGATCATGACCTAGTAACCACATAATTTGGTTTTTTACTAATATTCAAACGCATTAAAACGAGGAGTAAGAAATGGTAATTACTAGAATCAAAGCAGAGTGAATTTGAAGTGACATTCACTCGTCGTCGTCATCGTACTTTTTGCATTTAGACGGTAAATTATAGTTGAAACTAAGATGAACAAACAATTGAGTTCCTATGATTTCATTCATAAAACATATGCAACCCCAACTGGTGGGGAGGGGAGGGGAAAGATACTAAGATGTATGATGCAGTTGGATTATTCATCAATTTAATTTATTTGGTAAATTAATTAAGGGTGCAGTGTAAATAATATTTGAAATGTAAAATTAATGGTTATTAGTGTAAATTAAATCAGTGTTCCCAAACAACTCATTTCCACCTACACGGCAAGAATTTTCCATATCCAAAAGCAATATAAAAAGGCAAAAATTACTTTTTCTGCCTCGACCAAATAGCTCTATTGCCATAGAGATTGATCAGAAATAGATGGCCTAATTAAAATTATAATCGAAAAAGTATATTGCCGTGTTTGGTTTGGCACTTTGGCCATCCATCCTAATTATATTAGCTAATTACTTTACTAACTCACCTACCGATCGAACCATTTTTTTCAAAAGTCTATACATTATCTTACGACCCTAATGCTCCAACTAATTTATGATCTCAATTACCGACTAAGATAAATTAATCATCATTCCTCCCACGTTATTAGATGGCCTAATTACAATGACAGATGCTCGAATTGCCACCTAACCTATACTCCTCCATTAAAGATTAGTCGAATATATCAAGCACAAATATATCTTGTCACAAAAGTAAATAAATAAATAATGTGTTTCCTTTGTGATATATATTGATGCTTAGACTTTTAGAGATCCAACACCTACAATTAATTAATTTGTGTATGAAGATTTCTTTTTGTTTTTCACAATCACTATTCAAAAGTTGCACCAGAAATGACCATAAGGTAAATCATAGCCGACCAGCTCATCAAACCATAAAGTTTAATAGATTGCTCATTTGAGAGTGAAAACTTATAATACTGTAGTTAGCAAGTAACAATCTGACCAATTTAACAATCGGGCAAGGAGCGGGTTTATTAATTAAGTGGTTAAAAGGTACATGCAGGAACAATAAACAAAATTATTACTCCATAATCTTCTCGGCCACAGCTATTAACAACATCTAGCTAGCTAGTTTCTCATATCATCATCATCATCTTGTAATGCAATTAACTTAGTAGGTGTAGCCCTTGACGAACATTCCCTCTTTGGCCTCCTCTGATTCTCCCTCGCCGGTGTACTTTCCGAGCTGAGCCAGAGAGTTGGCCTTGGCCCTCACCAGCAGTGCATCCTGCGCCGCCTTCACGTTCTCCGGGCGCCCTCCCCATGTCTTCAAGCACGTGTTCTGGAGTGCCCTAGCGTACGAGAACGACACGTGCCATGGGTTCGGAGATTGGTTCATGGCGTTCAAGTTCAACGTCGCCTCCACCTCTGACTGCCCTCCAGACAAGAACTGCACACCCAAACAATAATTATAAGTTCATCAAATTAATTATAATAAGAATTTATTAAAGTTTGAGACTTGCCATGATTCCAGGGACAGCGGGTGGGATTCTGGTTTGAAGAAGCTTGAGGGTGTACTTGGCAACTTCCTGAGGAGAGGCCTTGTCTTTGCATTCGGCGCCGGGAGTCACCATGCTGGGCTTCAAAAGAATACCCTCAAACAAAACATTGTTCTGAGCGAGGTAGAAGAAAACCTCAGCCCACACTTTCTGGGCAACCTCAAAAGTCCTCTCAATGCCATGCTCACCGTCAAGAAGGATTTCTGGCTCTACAATTGGAACCAAACCACTTTCCTGAGAAATTGCAGCATACCTAGCCAACCCCCAAGCTGCTTCCTTCACCGCCAAAGCAGACGGTCCATTGGGAATGCTCACAACAGTACGCCTAAACACACACAATTTTAGTACAACATTGTGTGTATATATATATATCATATATATCAACTAATTAAAAGTACAAAAATACACATTTATATTTTATATTATGCTTACCATTTGGCAAAACGAGCACCCTGTTGGTAGTAGGCAGCAGTGCGGGAGGCAAGTCCATCGAGACCTTGGCACCAGGACTCATCGTTTGACCCAGCAAGGGGAACCAAACCCTACCCATCCACCATCGGAGAAGAAAGAAAAATGAATAAAATGACTAAAATACTCTCACTATTTTGGGTTTGGAGTAACCAAAATTGATAAAAATTAAATAATTACGTGACAGTTTTGAAATTAACAAGACTCCAATAATCATAGGATTAAAAAGTGAAATTAACTACTTAATTAATACCTTGTCAACTTTGATTCCAGGTACTATGTTTTGGTCAATAAGAACGTCGACCATCTTCTTGCCGTCGGTGGTGGATTGGTAGAGGGTTTCCTCAAAGAGGATGGCGCCGGAGATGTATTGGCCCAGTCCAGGAACCGTGACGAGAAGGGTACGGTAAGCTTGCCGGTTTGCCTCAGTGTTCTCCAGCCCAATCGAAGCCAAACGCTTTCCGCAAGTTGCATTTGACTCATCCATGGCCAAAATCCCACGCCCTGGCGATGCAATTGTTTTCTACATTCCCCAATTCAACCACGCCACATTACATGCATGTATGTTAATAATTATATATATTGCTTATGTAATTTCACTTAATAATCAGAGTTAGTACTTACGGCAGTCTTAACGAGCTCATCGGCGTAAGAAGCACGGACTGTGAGAGAAGAGGCGACGGCGGCGGGAAGGCGGACGGCGGCGACGGAAGGTTGACGGAGGTTCTGGCTGCCCTTGACAAACTCCGACTTGCCCAGAACTACAGATGACGACTTGAGAAGCGAAGCTGACGCCATTTCTTTCTAGTCTTCTCAATCTACTAGCTTAATTAGCCAAGTTTTGCTAGCTATTATTCGATCTTATCTCCTCCTTTCACCGGCTCTGATCTGATCTAAACCCCTCAGCTCTCTACCACACACGCATGCACATACACGAGCAGTGTCAGATTTATAACTGTGCTGATGAACGAACAAATTAAAGATGTCGCGTTTGCGGCTGTTGTGCGCCCACCAATCATCGTTCACCATGTCAGCAGCCCTTTTTTGTCTGATTTGCATGCTGCACTGTACAAGTGATTGGATCCATCGGAATCCATTGAATTATTCCCACCTCAAAATTATACTATACAGAAAAATTTGTGAGGATGGTGCATGTTCTGGCCTAGATATTTTCTATCTAATTCATTGTTTCAAGTTTTGACAGGTGCATCCCAATCAACATATACAGTGCAAACCAGCAGAAACCAAACCAAATATATGCCATTGAGTGATATATTTATGGTCATGCATGGTTTAGTTCCTGGACCATAGTCCACACAATAATTTATTTGTTATGATTTTTAGTATATTAAAAATGTATTTTTGTTATGATTCACGTCTGACCATAGTATACACAATAATTTGATGTTAAACAATTAACCTCTGTTCATATTTTCAGCTTGGATTCATGTCTAGTTCATTCCTGTCCATATATAGACTGGCCATCTGGAGATTTTAGGCCTCTTGTAAATAGGGCCCAATGACGGGTAAAAAGATCAAAGTACAAGCCCATATTTTGTGGCTTATATTCAACAAGAACCACTAATCAACAGATTCCCGTGGGCCACATAATCTTGGACTCAAGATTATGAACTCAACAACAATCTTGGACCTATGTGAGAAAATGGGCCATTAAGTGATCTCAATGTTGGTTTTCTCGTAGCTTCGATTTCATTCTTTTGATTAGTTATGGTTCACAGAAAGAAATAAACAATTATAACGTGTGACGGGAGTTAAAATGAGGAGACAAATGTGCCATGGCCCAACCGACACATTAATCAGTAGCGGAGGGATCACCGTTGTGATTACAAGTACGGACTCCGATCCGGTTGCCATGGCCCAACCGACACATTAATGTGGGATCATAATTTAGTTGGTAGATCATCAGTACAGACTCATCACGTGTAATCTAAATGTTCAAAAGTAACAAGTTGTTGTTACATTAAGAGAGGTGGTGTTTGGTAAATAGTTGTTAGCGGATAACTGATAACTGATTGTATTAGTGGGTTTAAGTAATTGATAACATTAACTTATTTTAAAAAATTGTTTGATAAATTGATCGAAAAAGTTGATTTGAGAAACTTTTTAAATTTTAACATTTTGAAATAATTTACAAAAAGAAACTAATTAATCAAACACAGAAGTAACTAAAATAGTCAAATAAACAAAAATTATGTGATAAATTAACTATGTTACTAAACAGTGAAAGAGGACAAGAACTAAGCTTTTGATTTCCCATAAAAATTTGAAGCATAATAATGTAATTGAGAAAATTACATTACACATATAAATTATAAAGACTCTCCTCTTCCCTCTTTGACTTACCAGAGGTGAGAGATTCTATCTTTTGTTCACCTACACACATGAATGCAAATACCCAATCGATCAGTAATTCACCAACTCTGTACAGATGCCATTTACTGATGATCTTAATTACTGGGATAATTAGCGGCAAAGTAAGCAAGGGCGCCAACGAACGGCGCGTTAATGTAGGTTGTCGGCTCCGACTTCCGAAAATCGTCGCGGTCATCGTCGTACTCATCGTTCTCCCCCGGCCCGCCGACGATCGCCCCGACTAACACGTTCGGGTTAGGACCCGACGAGTTGAAATAGACGGATCCCTCTTTGCATGCTATGAACTGCGGATGATCCTTGGTCGAGGGGAGAGACGAGCCGCGGTGATGAATCCGTTGAGGATAGTAGTAACTGTACCCGACCATGTACGAGATTCCTTTAGGGTTGTCGCCTAAGATGTAATCAACCTGCCGCTTAGCCACTTCCCGGAGCATGGCGGGGCTGACGCTAACGCTGCCGCAGTTCACGGCCTGCGACGACCGCTCTAAGGAGGCGGCGTAGACCAACAACATCAGACTCACTAAGGTTGCGTGCTGCAGATTGCTGCCGCCGGGCTTGTAAATCAGGCCGCCCGGCGTGTATTCGATGTGGGACGACGGCGATTCCGGGATCAGTGTGCACATGAAGCTATCTGCTGAGGCTTTATATGATTGCAAAGAATAGATGTTCCCTTCCAAGACCTCCTGCATATATGCATTAAATTACAAAAACGATGAGAAACTTTTGACGGTCTAAATATAGTGATTTAAATTAGTTAGCTCAAAATTTAACCTTAGAAACTAGAACGTTTAGTCCAGCATACTTGTTGTCCCATCCAAATTCGTTAATGTTGTCATTAGCACCAAGAGTTTGGCCATTGTTTTGCAGGTAATTGAGGTAAGTATCACCCTGAGTGGCCCTCCTTAGCCATGCTGCTGCCCAAAGCAATTCGTCCTGCAATTCAATATTCAACATATGTTATCCTGACCTAAAAATCGACCTATGCTGCGAACTAGGTGCTAGGCGTCCCTATACCGAGACGATTTCAACTCTAGAGGACTTTTAGTTGGGTAACCGACTAATCCGCCGACTAGGTATCATAGGAGCCGACTCAGCCGAGTTGAGCGTCTAACTCGGTCGAGTCAGACGCCTAACTGGACCGAGTCTGCGCTCAACTCAACTGAGTTTAGAGGATTATAATAGTCTAATAACTCTTAGCCCTAAGTGGAAAAGTGTCGTCTAGGCTATGCCAGGAGCCCCCGGGCACCCAACTAGCCCCTAATGCCTTCTGCAACATTGATCCTGACAAAACTCAAATAATATAATTTTTAATTTGTGACGAAAGACTTGCCTGATATCCATCAAAATCACAGTAAAACGGGCAAACGCCACCCCTAATATTAGAATTGTCACTATAAGCTCCCCGATAGGAATCTGCGAAACTGAACACCCGTGTTGCGGTTTGCAACAGAGTATCAGCATATCCGGAATCGGAAGATCGGAATGCCATGGATGAAGCGGCCAAAGCAGCCGCTGTCTCTCCGGCGACGTCGGATGCCGGATTCGGGGCATCCACGGCGTACACCGTCCGAGCTGTATCCATATCTTCCGGCCTTTCCCAACAACTATGGTCCGATATGGGATCACCAACCTGTAAATCATTAAAAATATATACATACATTCATTATTCAATATTCAAAGAAAACCTAACGAATTTCTATATGCAATTACACTGTTAGAGGACCTAGTGGACCATCGGACCAAAAGCATCCAAAGAATGGAATCCCATACTAATGTTAATATTAATATCAAGATAAATGTTTGGCTGGATCAAATATATTTCTATAAGCAATCACACACCCGGAATAGGCCGCTCATATGATACAGAATTGAGATCTAGGTTCCGTCTAGCATACTTATGAGATAGCTTAAGTTGAAAGTAAGTTAGTAGCTACTAATTTATTTTTTAAACGCTATTTAAGATAACATTTTAGAATAAACTATTATTTTATTTGTATTTTAAAATATAAGTTATAAGATCTTTGATAGTCTTAATAATCAACTCCCACATAAGGGGTAGGTGAATCATTATGACTCTTAAGACAAGAGATTTCACCTTTATGGACAAATGAAACCCATTTACATGACATTATTTTATAGGTATAATGTATTAAAGAATTGTGGCATATTAAAGTTACAAGTTGGATTGGTGATTGGGTAAGTAAGATAACATAGAAATTAGAGAAGCACGCACAATTAGGTAACTTTGTTTAAAGAAAGATTCGAGGATGTGGACCCAAAATGTCGTATTAAAGAGACAAATATACATTCATCAACTCACTCAACCACACTTCCCCACTGACAAAGAAGTAAACAGTTGAGATGGTAGGTCTACTGCTCCACTCCTGAATCATGACCCCTTAACAAAAAAGTATTTATTAAAAAACAAAAAACAACTGCCCTATTTCTCACCACACAATTTCCATACACATAACACATGCATATGTATTGAAATTTTTGTACAAAATCTTATATATTTTTAAATAACTCAATTTGATTCAACCACCAATCAATACTTGTTGAAGGAGCCAAAAAAAAAAAAGATAAATATCGATATTATTTTTTATATTAAACTACACAAGATAACAATATTTTTAGTGAAAACAATTTTATTTTTCTCTATTTAATGTGGAAACCTACCATCCGGCCTAAAAACCTAGAACATCACAAATAAACAGACTAAAAGCAGACCTGTCACAACCTTATATTAATGAGACATCACACTGGTAGTTAACTAGAGCTGTATTCCGTTATATCCCGAGTTTCCTTTTATTCTTCTTTGTATTATTCTGTAATTTTTTAGTGCTATTGACTCTGTTACAATGTAATATCTGTTCATAAATACTTTCTCAATCTTGAAGCACAAAAAGTCAATGTCCCCATTGCGTTCAAACCTATGACTTTCATTTTAAAAACAGTTATGTCGCTTGACCAAAAGGTTTTTGGCTTCTACAATAATATTATTCACTATAAAGTAGTAACATAGAAGTTGAAATACTTAATTTCTTTAAATTTCTGCCAAAAAAATTTGTAATATTGCCTTACCAATCTAATGGGGAGTAAGTACAAATTCAATGGAATCAAACATTATTAGCAATAGTTGGGGGGTATGCTATCATTACAATTGGCTAATCCAGTACCTACCCCAATCCGACGAGCTATGGTGTACTAATATTATTATTATTATTCATTTTACACGTAATAAATGTACATTTATTATTTGGGAAAAGGAACATATGGGGACTAATATAAACAACAAATGGGTTATGGGTAGCCACGAAATTAGATTAAAAGCAATGCGTGCATGAGGGACATCGAAAATAATGTTTGATCAACGACAGGGGCCCACAGTAACAGCTTTGGATCGCACTAAATTAATTAAAGAAATTGAGCAATGCTTAAGGAGTAAACAGAACCTGAACGAAAATGCGGTTGGGTTGGGAAACAGTTTTGAGGAGATAATCGGTGGCCCATTTAATGGCGACCAACGTATTCTGCAACTCCGACGCCGGCATGTACTGACCAAATTCGATCACGCTCCACGCGAGCATTGTGGTGGTGAAGGCCATCGGGAAACCAAACTTGACGTTATCGCCGGCGTCGTAGTAGCCGCCGGTGAGGTCTGTGTTGAACGACCACCCATCGCCCAGCCCGGAATGCCCCCGCCAGGTCATCCTCTGCTCCGACGGCAAGTAGCCGGAACGCTGACCCTCGAAGAACAGTATGCACTTGGACAATGCGTCGGGGTAGTTATGGTAACTGGATTGCGTAACGTCGAGAAGCAAAGTTGTGAAGAAGAAAAGAATGAGAAAACGAAAAGACATAATTAGCTTCATCGCTGGGTGATTGGGCGGGTAGCGATGAGCTATAGCGGTGAGTATACTATATATCAAGGATATAGTGAAAACTGTTTTCTTTTAATTTTTAATTGGTTATGTTTATGTGGAGATATGAAAGGTTTCACGGGAGAGAGGAGACACGAGAGGGGATAGGGAGAGGGAGCGAATAATCGCCGACACGCGAGTCAGTTAAAATTCACATGTAGCAAAACAAGTGCATCTTTTTCCCCATTTGCGTAGGGTCGGCCTTTCCTTTGTGTGGGACCGTTTTTGTATTAACTCTAAATCATATCAATCCTCATTATGTTGAATCTTATGTTGAATCCCCAATACCAAGAATCTCCAAATCCCGACATGACAAAGAGATGATATAAATTACAGTGACTTAATGACTCAGCAGATAAGTCAAATGCTGATGCACATAAAAGATCTATTCACTTTGAGCATAATCTTCATATTGTCGCTGTTGAGTACTGACTACTGAACCAGTGAGCTAAACTCGTGCAAATTTTTTTTTTTTATTTTTTGTTTTGTTGGCCCATAAGAATGGAGTGGAGTAGGAAAATTTGGGGGAGTAAAATGGATTACTATTATTTTGACATACCATTTTACACAAATATATCACAGATTATGTCCTTTTATTGTGGCAATAGCACAGTGACGGACACGTGATAGTAGATCAGATTATCAGAAGAAGAACAAAGCTTGTCCAGTGAAAGCCAAAGCGCACATACAAGTGGACTCTTGTTTGTTACTCCAAATACATTCCTACATTATTATACTAGTACTAGTAGTAGTGGGCAGTAATCACTCGTCGTTATGGTTACGTAGGTCGGCGGAAAGTGAATTACTTTTTCGACTTTTCGGCTGGAAGTATTCCTCTACTGGAATCTTTCTTTGCCGGAAAGACAAGCAAGGATAACAATTCAATTCCCAGGAATCATTCCGATTCCTCATCACTGCATTACCATGCACCACTACTATAGTACTATCATCTCAACATCACACACAACTACGTTCTTCATAGTTCACGCAAGTATTTTTACCACTTTGGCCCTGCTTCATACATTTACTGCAGATTGACAAGCAAAGAGTAAGTTAAATGCAACATTAATTTAAAAATTTGCAAATTTCTCATCTAGTTCACAATTGTTAAGTTGCAAAAGGAGAGAACTGCTAAAGCCTGGGCAACAAGGTACCAAATAATAATAATAATAATAATGAAGACGAGAGGTATTGCCAAAACAAGAACAAAAACAATGACTACGTGAAAAAGATATCCCCACATTTCAAATCATTATCAAGACTTAAGCCGCCACAGAGGAACAGAAGCACATTGTTATGCATGTTCTAAACAAGTAAACATGGTGTGATCATCTTTCCTCAAACAATATTTGGAATTAGAAAAAATAAAAATTGCTAGTCCTAGGTTCAGCCCAAATGTCATGACATCACAATGGACAGCTAATAAAATATTAAAATCAGCAAAATTTCAAGCAGAATCACAAATAACACCTCACTGTAATGTTCTAAATAAAGTTGGTAAAGATACTGATAACGCCAATAAAATGGTTTCAAAAACTCAACAACCAAATTATTATGGAAACCAAGGGACCACATCTGGCTAAGTACCGTTCATTCAACGAATATCCGTTTCATCCAATTAGTACCTCCTGGGGAAACGGTCCATAAATCTTCCCGATGGGCACTCATAAGCTACATGTCCTCTTCCCCCGCAGTTGTGACAGATCATCATGGTCATGCAATCCCGACTCATGTGGCCTACCTGATTGCAGTTCCGACATACGATGTCACGAAATCCAGCATCCCGATATCCACCAGCACGAGGTCCAGGACCCCTCTCTTCAATGGTTCCAGCCTTTGGACAATCTCTAGCAACATGCCCAGATATATTACACAAATTGCACACGGGATCATTTTGACAGTCACGGGCAAGGTGACCTGTTTTCCTACAATTTTTGCACGCCTTGTCATTTGTGCAGTCAGCTGCAATATGACCTTGCTTAAAGCAGTTGTTGCAAAGCCTCAGATCACCAGGCGGCATAGGAGGAGCCGTGCAGTCTCTTGCACGATGTCCTGCTTTCCCACAAGTGTGGCAGATTCCTTCATTTGGACAATTCCCAGCCATGTGGCCAGGTTCTCGACAGTTCCAACAGAGTGATTTTGTAGTGCACTCTGATGCAATATGCCTGGTTCAGATTAAAAAGTATTAGCACACTACATACCAATGATTATGCTATTAACACCAATCGCTGAGCAATGTGCCCATCACCAAGTTGCCATCTATCACATATTCAATACATTGTCCATCTAAATATCAACTAAAACAAATTGGAACTCAACAATTCCTCCACAATATAAAGGAAGGGAAAGATGAACAATAATGCAAATAGGACAGGTACATATGTTGGGAGCGAGCATGTAACAACTATAGCAGCAGTGAATTTTATTTGAGTCTCAAGATACATATCATTCTTGAGTTGGATGCAGGTACTACAATTTCAGCACAAGAGAAATGAATTGAGCAAACATGTAAAGCTAATCAATACGCATAATTAATAGAAAAATTACAAGGCACGTACCCAGGAAGGCCGCAATTGTGACATATTGCCACATTAGGGCACTCTCTAGCAAAATGACCTGGCCTTTTACAATTCTTGCAAAGACTGTTCTGGCTGCAAAGGAAAAATAGCAATTGATTTAAAGACAATAACAGCATGGAAACATGCAATTGACATATTAGTATAACATTTCTTTGACTAACTCAGAAAATCTTTTACAAGCAGAATTGTTTAAGTGGCAAATGTAAAATGCACATACACCAAATGAATATTAATTAGTCAAGAAAAAACATGGAATTCATGCTACAATTGAGAATCTAGGTCGTAGTACAGGTAATTCCACTGCATTACATGAATGCAGTGAACGAAATAACCCCCAAGAAAAATAATAATCAACATTAATTTACATTGACAGCACAACAATGATTTCCTTTTTACTCCAACCAACATGTGCTCCCAGAATATATCTGAAATAAAAACGTTAAGCAACATATTATGACTGAAATCCAAAGAACCTGAAACCCCGACGTGACTCCCGCCTATATGGTGCATCACGGTAGGAATAACGCTGAGTACGGATCTTGCGATCCATTGGGCTCCTGCTTCGGCTTCTGTTGTCTGGCATATTCAAAATTCTCACACTTAACCAACCACTAACAACCTGCAAATATAACCACACCACACCACACCAGGCTGCTGCCTCCTCCCTGTCCACCACAACCACACACCCAAGACCACATGAATGAGTCCACAATAAATGTTACTCCACACCATTTCAAAAACCAAATCCCAACACCACCAGATATTAACATTTATATATTATCAATGAGAAAAACCACTTAGAAATTAAGGTAATAAACTCCAAGAACTTGCTACTTCTACAAAACCTCTCCCTTAACCAAACCCCATACACCACAACAGCTCTTTCAACAAAAGATTCCAAGATAAGCATCCATTAGCAAACAACTCAGTCCATGACAGCTCAAGAATACTCCAGCTTTATATATATAATCGGAGAAGGTTTCTTTAGACTTTAGGCATCAGCACACTAAAGCTATCAACTGTAAGATGCATTATTTTAGAAGTCATGATTTTGGAAACTAAAAAATCTGCCCAAATATAACATCTATTGAATACATAATAGATTAAATTCCCATTTCCCTCTCTAAGCTGCTGAAGAGACAAGCAGTACATGAGCTAGACCTAGAAAAGAAAAAAGAGCCCTATTTGGAATGGAAACCACTTCAGACTGAAGCATCTGTCAAAAGCTTTCATGAGTCAAACAGCTGAAACCCAGTCTTAACAGCAACATAATTGCTGTCATCAAGCTAGTTGCAGCTTTGACTCGTTGTATGGTTGAAAGTATTGCCAAAACCCCAAGGTCCAGTCTCATATTCTGCACGTGAGAGAAGCGCAAAATGATGGAGAAGGAAGGCCACTAAAGGGACTGAGATAAAGCAGTAACCATTTAATCATTTTTGGCTTCAGATGTAGCTCAGGCAGGAACTTTCCAGATATCCTTAGTATCCATACTTGCCATAATTCATGTTACTATAAGAACATTAATGCAGCACATATACAGTTAACTCGAAAAAAAAATAAACAATTTCAAACATATAGGAAACAAAATAAAAGCACACACATAGCCCCCTAGTTTGTTCAGAGATTTATTGTTCACCTGTCTGTATTACAGCTTCTTGGCTTTAGGATAAGTTATGGGAGAAACCAATATATTTTCCTTCAGCAAAGTTCCTCCTCCTCCCACCGTTTATTTTGCTTTGGTCAAGACACTGTAATATAACAATGATAAGTATTAAATATCAAACGAGTTCTATCAATAACTGGAGTTCAAAAAAAAAAAAAAAGAAAAAAAAAGTGACTTTAATGACTTAGAAACCCTAATGACCACAATTAATAGCTAACTCGATTTTAAGAAATACAAAATAAGTAGCATTTGCTAATCCTGTGGTGTTATCGAAAACAAAGATAAAACAGCAAGAAGGATTCGTTGAAATGAGGAGAAGATACCTGAAAGTGAATCGAGGTAGGGAAGACTGTCGATCTGGTGGCGGAGGTCAGCCCGGAGCTAATTGAGGGAGAAAATGAGAGAAAACAGAACAGAACGGCCGCGCCAAGCGAGTTGGTTTCTGAACGAAATGGACGAGCGGACACTGCGACGCCGGCTGGTTTTGGATTATGAAATCCCGTTCGGATTGAACAATAATACGAAGTACCTTGGCTTGGAGGCTTGGACACAGGGACTTTGGGATTACATTTTTTCCCAACATGAATTTAAAAATAAAAAATAAAAAAATCCCAAACTTTTTAAGAAAATATAATTAAATTTTCGATTTTAAAATTTAAAAAAAAAAAAAAAAACAAAACAAAAATCAAATATGTCAATGAGCTAAAAACATGTGTAATTTGCCTCCTTTGTCAGCAAATTTATACTTATTTCAGTAATTAATGATTTAATGTGTCAATTGGTATGTAAAATGATTTTATTAAAATTTGTCTATAAACTCTCATTTTCAAATTATTATACCTACTAGAGAGTTGTTTCCAAAAACAAAAAAAAAAAAAACAAAAAAAAAAAAACAAACAAACAAACAAAAATAAAAAGAAAATGTTCAAAATGTATAATACAATGTTTTTTTTAAAGAATAATATAATACATTATATTTATAAAGAGGCGTCGCTACATGACTTCAAATATTGGTAGTTTTTCATTAACTAATTATATTTATAATTTTGTACAAATTTGGTAAAGATCAATTTAATAAAATTATGAGATTATATTTCCAAAATCTGGAAGCTTGCTTTCGTCATTATCAAGATAATATTATTTGAGGCAAAGTGCATAGTGTTAGTAATTTAGTATTGGTGATGTGTGATATAGTTATTGTGATATTCATTAGTAATCATTGGGTTTGGCATATATGGTTATCAAAATAACCAAAAATTTGAGTGTTCAACCAAAACTTATTCAAAATTATGTGAAATGTGGATATTGATATATTATAAAATTCATCAACATTCGCATGAGATGCAATTGGCATGAAATGCCCTTACATAAATAATTAAGTTTTGAAAGATTAGCCAAAGTTAACTTAGAATTAGGTAAAATATTGATATTGGCTTATTAAAAATGCATGTGATAGAAATATCCAAATTAATGTAAGTGTTATAAAAAAAAAAAAAAAAAAAAAAAAAAAAAAAAAACATGTCAACCATAAATAATAATTTCAAATTTTCAATGCGAAGAAAAGTTATAAATTTTGATATTAGAAACTCGTTTTTTTTTTTTAAGTCAGAATGTAATATGGTTTTTTTTTTTTTTTTTTTTTTTGGTGATAACTCGAAAGTGATTATTTTTCTTATAAAGCTTATGGAGCGATTAACTATGCGATGCAAGGCATTCTAATATATAAATTGAAAATTTTGTATATAGATTCAATTGTGTATCAATATTTGAAAGGGTATTCTCAATGTGAATATTACATGTCATTTTTTGTGTTCTCAATTTTGACAAAAATATTGTTGTCGTCGTTGTTGTTATTATTATTTTAGGTATATCATAATAAAAATCTCCATGAGATCCCTATCTTATTCTTTATACATCAACCCCATCATCAATTGTAGGAGGTATTGTATAGAATTCAAATGGCACTTCATAATCACTATTGCCCATTTACCAATCTAACTGATGTTAGTGATGTGGTCTGCACATATGTTCCCATCCCTCAACGTGTGATAAATGTTCTTGATATTGTTCATGACTGTCAGGCTTTGGCAATATGAAACAAGTGTCATCAACACTTGATCAACTTCACGATCTCCGAGCAATTACTAATATAAACTATAATTATATATTATTGGGAAAAAGGGTCAAATAAGTCATTCAACTTTACTCAAAAAGTTAATTATACACTTAAATTTTCAAAATTTGCAATTAAATCACAAATATGTTATTTTGAAGCATTTAAGCCTAGAAAATGATTGATAACTTGCAATTACAAGTTACATATGGTTCCGACAACCTTTCATACACTTTCAAACAATAACCATCGGCGACCAGGGACTAGACGGTCGCCGGTCGCGTTTCAAGGATGCAACCAACTGGTATGCCTTCCCCTTCGCCTGAGAAGGCGACCAAACTCCGACGAAAGAGAAGGCAGACCAACTGGTCGCTTTCTCTCGCGAATGAGAAGGGGTCGCCTTCTCCGGCGAAGGAGAAGGCAGACTAGTTGGTCGCCTTCTCCGGGGAGCAGTTGGTCTGCCTTCTCCTTCGTCGGAGAAGGCGACTAACTGGTTGCCTCCTCCAAACGCGACCGACAAACGTCTGGTCGCTGATCGCCTGTGATTATTGCCAGAAAGTGTAGGAAAGGTTACTGGAACTTAGGTAACCTGTAATTAAAAGTTACTAATCAATTTATAGGCTTAAATGTTTCAAAATAACATGTTTATGGATTTAATTGTAACTTTTGAAAATTTAAAAGTCTAATTTGACGCATTCAAAAAGGTCTAATTGGACTTTTTTGACTAAAGTTCATGGACATTGATCATTTTCTCTATATTATTTAAACTTTATAAATCTATAAATTATAATAAATGAAAATAATAGTTGACTATAATGAGTGGATTTTACAAAAATGCACTTATAACAGAGGGGTGTACTGGCGATAAATAGGAAATGGAAGGAGTTCTCTACGGGCGTTTTTGAGATTTTGACAAATCCCCATCTCTATCCTCGACTCTCCTTCAGGCGCTTTGTGCGCGTTAATTACTCGCGGATTTGAGTACATCATCCATTTTCTTTGCGAGGTGAAGTTCGGTTTCCAAAAAAAATAAAATAAAATAAAAAATCGTCCCGATAGTCCGATACAACTATCTCTTCCTGTGCAGCTGTTATCCCAACCTTGATGGCTACCCAGAAGCAAATTGTTCGATTAGGTATGCGAGTGCTCAATGCAAATAGGTTTTCTGGTTCAGTCAGCCATTTCGGATCGCCTTGGAATTCTTCCCAGAATAGGTTTGAGTATCGGCAGATCTCACAACTGGCTAATGGAAAGCGTGCCTGTCTTGTGGATACATTAGCTCTGGTAATTATTTTTTGTGCTTTATCAATATGAAATGTTCCGTGCGTTGTAGACAATAGTATTGTTGTTTGTTATTCTTGGTTTAAGGAATATATTTGATGTAATTGAATTTGTATTTCTGATCCCAAATTTTAATGATGATTATATGAATTGGTAAAGGGGTGTTTATAGATATTAGGATGAGTTAGGGGTATACTTGTATGCTGTTTCATTTCTGTTGAATACTTTGAGCTGTTTTTTAGATTTTTTTTTTTTTTTTTTTAATTGTAAGTTTTATTGGTTTGGTACTAACAGGTTAAGAGTTTAGAAGCACAAGGTGTGCCTTCAAAACAAGCAGAGGCTCTAACTTCAGCTATTATTGTGGTTTTGAATGACAGTTTAGAAAATGTGTCTCATTCATACGTTACAAAAGGCGATATGCAGAAAGTAAGAGTTTAGACAGGATTTTGTTTATTGTATTACTTTATGTTGGGAGTGTTTAATCGAGTTCTTTTTTGTTTAGATATATTTCTCATGCATTTTGTTTTTTGTAGTCTGAAATGATTCAAGAATCAAACATTTCTAAATTCAAATCTGAAGTACAGAGTTCTCAGGTAAAAGTATTACTAATTTTGAATCGTAGCTTATGATTTGATATAAATTAATTCAATTCCAGTTCCTTGATTATATTTGAAATTTGTTTTTTTCCTGTGTTAATAAATAGATGGACAAGAATATTGAGTTGGATCAGGCTTAGTTCAAAATTATGTTGGATATAAAAAAAAAAATTCAATAACATACGAAGTTATTAAAAATAAAACTGAAAAACAATGGATTCTAGAGCAAATGAAGTTTTGTTTATGTATAAAGTAGTATTTTGTATTTTTTTGAATAGCTTATGAGTTAGGTTTGGAGTTTAGTTACTTTTGAATTTTTGATTGTGACGGGACCCAAAAATATTTTGAATATTAAAATTTTTGAGTAGCCTAAAAGCCATTATGAAATTGGATTGAAAATAAAAATAAAAATTATGTAATTTAAATACAAGTTTGATTTCAAATTTGATATGCATGAATTTCATGTTGTATGAATAGTACATAACCCAACCCCATTCAGGGGAATGCAAGCAATGGGTTCTAGCCATTGGCATTGATAGTGTTAGATGGATTCAAGATTAGCAGTGATAGGCAAACAAGAATTTTAGATAGTGGTAGTACATGGAGATTGGTGGACAATTTTTCAAAACTGGCATGAAGAGTAGTGGTGTGGGAGGGAGGGATTAAGCTGTGAAGGTGGTGGAGGTAAGTAGCAAGGTCATGATAGGGAGTATTAGAGGTAGGTTTGGAGGTTAGCAGGCTGTAGTGGTAGTGGTGTGGTAGAAGCAATGGGGGTTCATGCATGTTTTTGCATTAGAAACATTTGTAAAGATAGATCGTTTTAGTGTTTTATTTTTCAATAATTCCTTTTTTTATTGGAAAACATGTTGGGGTGTATTTGGCTTGGATGATGACCTCATTGCATGGTAAGGGTGAATGTTTAAAGTGGCTGCAGAGGGTTTTGATTGGAAGCAACTTTGTCGATTTACCCTTTTTCCGGGACCCCTCCAATGGGATTGTTAGTCTGGGATTACATCTGCAATCCCAACTCCCAAGCTTTTGGTGGACTTGGTGGGAATAGACGAATCCCCTTATACCCTTAGTCCCCCTGATCAAACAACCTCTAAGTTGTTTTTCCTGCAAGAAAAATCTCAAGCATTGCTTGTATTCACAAATTCTAGATATTTACCACAACGAAGCTCATAGTAGACAGATTATATTGTCTTCATGTTATGTATATGGTGTCATTTTTGAGAAACTTTGTATTTTGGGTGGAAGTCTTTATCGGAAGGTGCTTTGAACAAATGTTATATTTATTTAAAAGGTTAGTTGAATTCCTTATGCTCTTAATTTTAACTAGTTCAATACAGATAATCAAGTATGTTGGATTTTGTTCCCATTCTCTTTGTTACTCATAACACATAAATGGCTCCCTCCTTGAAAAGGTGAGATTGTAATGATGGAATTTCATGTTAATTTGAATTAGTAATACTTTGGAGTCTCGACCACTTCAATTTGGTATCCAAATATATGATTTTTTTTCCCTTATAAGAGCAATTGCAGGATGCTAGTGTTGTCTCATCCTCAAATTCTAGAACTTTAGATATGTCAAAGGAAGCTTTTATCTTTCTAATTCTTTTATGCATTCAATTAACATTTTGGCTACAGGAACATCATTTTTCTATGCTTCAACGTGAGACAGAAAAGCTTCAGAATGACATTGAGAAAATGCGTAGTGAACTAAGGTGCATGTTTTGGCTGCTCTGCTATGACTTATTGGCCATAGCATTCAGAATAATATGTTTGTTTATGGTTGATGCATATGACTCATTATCCGTTCATATTCTAGGTACGAGATTGACAAGCTTACTGCTGGTCAGCGTTTAGATTTAAATCTTGAAAGAGGGTATGGAACTTGCTAATTATGAGTCTGGTGCCTATTGTCTTCTAGTTAATAGCAATTACTCATTGGGTTGGTATGATTGCAGCCGCACTCGCGATGAGCTTGCAAATCAAAATGCAGAAACTACCAATCTTCATAACAAGCTTGACCGGGTAAGCTCCATTTTTGGCTTTGGTTAAAGGCCTTAATAATTTGTTGTTGTTAACTATATGATTCCATAAACAGGAAATTCATTCATTGAGGGCCCAACTTGAAGCTGCAAAATATGAAGTGATCAAATATTGTATAGGTACACTTGTTTCCATTTCTGCCGTTGGTCTTGCTATTGTTCGCTTATATTTGTAATCCAAAAGTAGAGGTTTGATATTGACTAACATGTAATTCCTTTGGGGTCTTGATTTTTCGTGGAAAATTCTTTTGAAACAAATATAACTTGCAATGTAGCATTACATTTGAATTTTAAACTTGAAAGATGTGCAGTTAGATGACAGGTATTTTTCAGAACTAATAATCTACACATGATTTTGAAATATCTGTCTTGCTCAACTATTTGTGAACTGTAATATTTCAGGAATCTGTTTTTTTATTTTTCTTTTTCTTTTTCCTTGTTGAAAGAAGTAGAACACTGCCAATGACCTTTGTGGTCTGGTGGCACGAAGTGGCTCTCCCAAATGAGAGGTTATGGGTTTGATCCACAGTGGGGACGGTATTGACTCTTTGTGCTGTACTTTAGTAGGTTGAGAAAGTATTTATGAACAGATATTATATTGTAACATACTCGTAGAACACGCCATAAAATTGGTACAACTCATGTTTACCAGATGAGATGACAGTGTTTTAATGAAAACTAAAACAGTAAAACATGACTCAAAAGAGATACAAAGACCCACACTTGTGGAGGGAGAGAATCATATTCTCTCTCTCTAATGAAATATATCTTCTTGTGATTCCTTCCCACATGACATGCCTATGCCCTCAATGCTCTGTTACTCACCACCCACCCCTGCATCCCGTTGGAATGACTCATGGGTCATTCATATCATTGGTATATCTCTCTGTCATGGCCCATAGCGTTTACTATACTGCTTTTGGCACAAGTGGATGGACTGAGTCAGCAGCCATTGAAAGTGGTCATTACCTGTTTCTTCTTATCAGATATTTCTAACCCACCACCACGCCATACACCACTCAATTCCTCAAAGCCACAACCTCATGACGTTAAACACCCCCACACTTCGCCCAATCAAATCTGAGGCTAGTAAAAAACGATACCTCTTTTGATACCACCTTTCAGTTGTATTAATTTTTTTTTTTTTTGTCAGATCACAAGGTGTTCTGAGTAGACTCTAATTATAAGAGACACCTTTAAACATGTACCATACCAATTGTATTAGTTGTTCAATCAATTATCTTGTTTAATAAACATTTGAATTACATTTGTGGTCTACTTATCTGTTATTTCAAAATATATTAGGTTAATTTGCCTAGTGTTTAAACGGTTTATCAGAAACAACCAAACCATAATCAAAAGTAAAGAATAAAGTATAGTAATAATAATATAATAATAATAATAAATATAGGGGCAACAACAATTTAAATATTAGTACTACATCACGTAACTCCGTTACACTAAGCTGCGACTAAATTACAACCAAACTAAAAACTATTGTGCACTAAAAAGTAAAAATCATAACCTCCCTAAACTCCGTCAAAAGTCTATCACTGCCGTTACCATTTGCTATTGCACATGTGACGCACCACCTAGCTACACCTACCAAACAATACCGGTCCCCCTTGGCGTCTATTGAAAATTCTCCACAAGCGCCGGGGTTGTCGAGCCGGAGCCGGAGCCGGCGTCGATAACCTCGGTATCCTCCTTCTTCCGCCGCATCTCCAAAACTTTCCGGTGACTATTCGAGTGAATCTCTAGAGAGAAAGTGGGGCTGCAAGCCGGTCTATACTCCGGGAAAAGTCGTCCGGACTTGTACCTAACGCCACAAGCGTTACACAAAGTTTTAGGACCCATCGGACCGGTTCGCCACTGTGGAGTCTTCTGAACCTGACAATGACTACAACGCCGTAGAGTCTGTGTCACGCCTGACCCTGGACCGGTCTCCACCGACGACTTTCTCTTCAGCTTCTTCGCCGGCGGCTTTTCTACGCTAGAAAACAAGTCGCCGTCGTGGACAGGGTTTGCACAACTCATACCAGGAAGCGATGAAGAACCGTACGACGACGACGGCGAGGAAGACTCTGAAGTCAGTGATGGAGCCACGTATGACCACACCTTTCCGCTTAGCCTGGACCGTTTGCTCCTCTGTTTTCTCTGGACTGGTACCGGAAGAGGAGGTTTAATATTTTGGGCAGCCTGAATAATCACCGGTTCACATCGGTTCTCCAAAAAAGTTCCGGTTGCCGGCTGAAAACTGGGGTTCGGACAAAACAACGACAATTCCGATGAAGAATCGTCCACAATTCGGGATAACCACTCGAGGTTCTCCATATCGTCAACCTGTAAAAATGATTTTTCCTCCATATATTTACTTTTTCTTTTTACGAAAATAAAGATATGTAATTTCGGTTAAAAATTTTCTATAACGGTTACCGGGAGCAGGAATTGGCCTGTAGAGAGAGAGCCGAAATCCTCGGTGCCGGAAAAAGTTTGGGAGTTGTAATTCCGGTGATGCGGAGACACCAAAGAGAAACTGCTCTTCCGTCCCTCAACTTCCTCGGAGTCTAAAGACGACCGACTCTCGCTGAAATCTTTATCGGAAAAGTCCAACAGGTCGTCGACGGAAAAATCATCGCTACCAACGTTGTTGAGACCGGCTAAACACCAGACGTCGTCGAAAAACACTTGCTGGTTGGATTTCATGGCTATCTTCTTGAGAGCACTTGACTTAAACGCTCTAGCTTCAATGCACTCCATTTATACCTCAAAAAATTAATTCCTAAGAACTCAAGACTAACTGTTTCGCCTGGGAAAAAAAGAGGGTATTTAAACTAAGTGAAAACGTATAAATAAATACGAAGAAGAAGAAGAAACGAGGAAGAAGAAGAGCAGGAGAGAGAATGCAAGGTAAAGGGAGTTTGGAGAAAAGCTCTGAAATGAGGGCGAAACTGGTGGGTGAGTTAATGTTTTTCCTTTTTTCCTCTTTATCTACTTTCTCTCTTCAATTTGCATACTTTTTATTATTATTATTATTATTATTATTATTAAGTTTTAAATAATTATCAAACAAAAAATCCGTTAAGTAATAAATATTATGGAAAATATTTTTTTGTATAAAGAATCATTTCATTAAATATTTAATTTTGTATTTCCTTTCTATTTATGCATGTTGAGATGGTAGTATATCAATCACAATCTTGTCAAGTTTTTTTTTTCTTCTTCTTTTAATTCACTCTTTAGTCTTTAGGTTACAGTGGGCAGTTATGCATGCTGTCGTAACTTACTGTTGATAGTACTAAAATTTTTATTCTGTTTTTTGAATTATTAAACGTTAGTTGACCGACTTAGTAGAGATGAAACCGGGTAAACAATACAAAAAACGTTAAACGGTCGACGGCGCCAAGGCCAGACTGACTAGTCTTGTTGGGTTGGCCTTGTGTGGACCAACTCTCACAACTCGACCATTCTGGGGGTTTGACTGGTTGTATTATTACGAGGATTATATTACTTGTGAAAAAAATTCCAATAAAAGGGTCAAATACGGAAGAGTTGTTGTATAATGACAGCATTGTAAAAGCCGCGTCGAACGCAGTTGTCATTTGGTAATAAGGCAATATATGCTATAGGTTAAGGAATTGCGCCACCGATTATGTATGTTTCTGAGTTACCATCTACGCGTTACTCCGAGTCGTAATCGTAGGTACTGAATTTATGATATTATATTGTGCATTGAATGTGAGATTTTAATAATAATTTTTTTAGATAGAAATTCATTAACAGAGAAAATTGTAAACGTACGTAAAAGGTGTTAGTGTATTATTTGCGTTATATATTTTGATTTTCTCAAAGCCAAATAATAAATAACGTGATGACTTGTATAAGCTCAAAATATATTATCACAATTCATTATAGTCTAAAGGCATCACAATATAATTTTGTATTGAGGTCTAATTGAAATGCTTTCTATACACAGGTAACAATATGTTAAAATATATCTGAGAAGTTACATCGGTCTAACTTTAAGAATTTGACAAGATAAAAGAATGTATGGTTTAGAACATTTTAGGAATGCAAAGACACATCATCGTTAATGGTCATAGTAGCTAGCCATGTTTGAATGGTGAGGGGCATGTACCTTAATTTTGAAATGGTACGTTATGTGTTAATGGTAATTTCACTATAAGAACGAGCTATAAATAGATTAAATTTTGAAACAGGTAACTATCAATGGTAGTTCCGATTCACTACAAGGGAAATTTATAAATAGATTACATTTTAAAACAATTATCTATCAATAGTAATTCCATCACAAGGGCAAACTAGCTATAAATAGATGAATAATATTATGAAAGATTTTTGACTCTATCGGTGTAACTCAATTGTAGCAAAATCCTCTAAAAGAATATAATGATCCATTTACTAAAAGAAAATGTTTTATGTTTTCTGTTTTATTTAATAATAATTCATAATCCACAACATATGAAGTGCAATATATATAATATGCATACAAATGAAAAGTATGGACTAGTATGCATGTGCTTCATTGTTGCTCTAGTATTATGAAATAACTTAAAGTACAATATATCATGTTGTTAAGGCACTCTGCATGGCATAAATATTTTGACTGTTGTACAAATGAATAAAAACATATAATTTCATAATTTAAATTAAATATTATTACATATTATTGTTATTAAAAATTTAGGTAAATTTTAGTTGGGTTATTAAAAATTTATGAAAATATAAATACGTCTGTTATATTGATAAACACAAATATCCTTTGCACTGAATATAACTTAAAAAGTGTTATAGTTGTATCAATTTTTTTGTTATTATATATACTTAGCAAAATCAGTACCGGTGTTGATGAATGTTACTGGGCCTATTACATTGTAGTATCTGTTCATATACTTTCTCAACATACTAAAGAACCAATAACACCTCCATTGAGGCTCAAACTCGTAACCTTCCAAATGAAAATCCAATTCGGGTACCATTAGACCACATAGTGTTACATATAATTGTATTCATTATTTCATGTGTTATTTAATTATTGATTTTACAAATGATTCATTCTTTTCCTCTTTTTGCCGAGTAAATACAAACTATATAATAGTATTTTGTTTTGGAGAACACAAATGGGTGCCCTAGCTAGCACTTATCAAGCAGTAAAAATGAGTGTGTATATTATAATTGAGAAGTGGGGTCATGCGAAGGCTTCTTTCGGCTATGCAATGATTGTTGGGATCATTGTGGTGTGTGGCTTGGAATCATTTCTAGTAAATTGTGATGAATTGTGTATTTTTTTATTTTTTTTTTTAACTTTTCA